CTTGTTTATAATTCCATCACTGGAAGTTTCCGTTTTTTTTTTTTTTTTTTTTTTTTTTTTTGTCTAACTGTTGATCGATGACGCCATTGCTGAGTAAGCGATGATTATTTATGTTTACAATAATAATTAAAAAATGGCGGCATAACACTACCAGTTTATTGATATTGCTTTGCGTTTCGCGATTTGTTCTTGCTTTTCGTGAAGTTCCTTTTCAGTGATGGAAATGTGAAGCTTTCTGTACCAGAAGGTAAGATTTTTGTACTTTTCATGCAATTATTCAAAGGTTGACGAAATATGCGTAGTTTGCTGATTATTATTGTATAAATGTATTTACCTTTTTTAATTCACATTAGTGGTCCGCGAAATATAAAATTATATATGTGGTGGTCCATGAAGTTCTAAGGGTTGACAACCGCTGACGATTCAAGATTTTGGTTTTCACTGAAACATACATCATACTAAGGTGACATTTTTGGTATCAGCGTTTACTCAGGAATATTGGTCACTTTTAGAGGTAGCAGTCTTACGGAGTTGAGCACCACAAGATTCACTACTCGTGTTTTTCAAAATAAAAATTAGTTGCAATAATTTGAAAGGAAAAAACAAGCAAGCTCTTCTAAAATAAATTTCAAATTCTTTATTCTACAATACATATTTTCTTGTCATAGTGTTAAACAAATATTTCACATACATTCGAAGACTGAGACATTTGATTTCTTTCTTCTTATTTGAACTATAAAATACTTTCTTGAAAAATAAAACAAGTATTTATTATTTCAGAATATGCTGAGACAGGTGTGTTCATATTTCCGTGTACTTTCGAGGAAGTTCTTTACCCCTTTCAATGACAATTCCTTCATTCACAAGAAGATGAATATCTCACTTTGTTTATCAAAAGTCCCGCAGCTGCAAATACTACACATCTGTGGCCGAAAATAAAGACGCAAAGTCATATTTATTTTGTTAAAATACAGTCGGAATCTTTGAAGAGGATGTTAAAACCGTTTCATGAAGGCACATATTTCCGAAGTGATGGAAATAGGAATGATTCAGTTAGCCGTCTGTCTGTAAGTAATAATGAATTCGAATCCTTTTACAAGTATAAACGTTCATGTTAGATACACCACGTTTCCAACGGCGACAATGAACTGAGTCTTGCAAAATGTTATCGACTCATGTTTTAATATACCAAGGTACAGATAGTTAAGAAAGCAAGCTAATCAGCATTAAGTAAACTTAACCTTTATCCCATAGACATACTCAAATAACTAACACTTTCCTTTTAGATGAAAAAGAGAGGTAAAGGCATTATTATCCTCTTTGCAATATCTCAAGTAATTGATGAGATAAAAATGTCTAATCAATTCGTCCTGGATTCGATTTTCTATGGCAGAAGTGTCTGGTTGCGTGAAGTTTTCATAAGTCTTCCCATGTGAAATGTGAATTGGTTTCCTTAGAAAATTTTGACAAAAACATCCCTTTTAAAGACAACTATTTCTTATTTATTATATAGCTATATTGTTTCATGCTTTAATAAAAATACGAAACCTCGAACACAGCAGATGGCTTAAAGCAAGTTTAACATTTTTGCATTAGAGAGCATGAGTTTTACGTTAGGTTAAAAGAAACAAACAAATCATTATCGAACAACAATGTTGGTCTGTGAATCATATATTCTATTTTACATTTGTCATAATGATATGGAACACTTTTTTAATCGTTAAACGGAATTTCCTTGAAAATATGCAGTAAGTTCTCTTGTGTTTCAAACAAACAGCTGCTAGAATTTAGCCTATTTCTTTTATCCTTGATAACTTTTAAGAGAACAAAAATTAGCTAAAATGACGTGGGGGTTAAATCAGCTTAAAAGAGTTTATGTACGATATCAACGAAAATTCCATTTCGAGACGTATTTCATTCTGTTCCTTTTTCCAACATTTATGTTACCAGCAACAATTCTAATTTTGGTGTTAGAATATATAAGAAACTTTTGCAGTTGGAGTTCTACATTATGCTAAATCCTCTGATTCAAAAAAGGGAAGAGAAAAAATTTCTTTGTTTTGTTTTTTATTTTTGTGTGATCAAAGTTTTCTGACGCATCCAGAGCTCAAATAACTCGGGAAAGTTTAAAATTATCGGTTTTTTGTTTTCTCAATTTATTGATACAGAAGTAGGGAATTGAACAAGTACCAGCATGGCCTCGTGGCATTATGATGCATTTGTTCCAGTTATGCACAATTGTGCGTATTTCCTTCGAGAAGAAGGTTTTCGGTTGGTCGTGGAATTATTCACGCACTGCATTTCACATTTCATTGTCCACGGAAAATCAAGGATTTCTTAAAGCATCTTGGAACAGTCCAAAGATGTGATAATCGTGGCAAAAACGAATTATGGTCTACAGACAAGGTATTTCAGCTCCTTGAAACCCAAATAAAAGTCTTAAAACTTTGAATTTAATGGTTTCAACCACCTTGTGCTTTCCAGTAAGCTCTCTTGTCACCCATCTTGCACATATTTTATGGAAGCTAACCTCCACCAATGGTTTGAAAGTTGGAACGATAATGTGCAGTAAACATGTTACTCGTACCTCATCTACGGTCATTTACCGCTTCTTCAGTATCAGTTCTCAAGCTTCTCGAATCTTTTCGTAGTAATGACGATGAATCAGCCTCCTACTCTCTCTTTGCGCACGCTTGTCCGATCACCTTTCAAACGACTCAAGTCAGCTTATGCTCGCTTCTACATAATAACATTTGTTCCTCTGTGGCAAGCACTAGTAGAGTAGAAGCCATATTAACATTGCTACAGAAACAGGGAAATGAGTATAAAGTTGAATGCAAATGAGTAAGTAGTAGTAGTTAAGGAAGGTTCAACTTACCCTCAAGAGAGACAGCTAGGCAGCTTGAGTAGCGTGCGTTTGCCTTTGAGCTAACCGCTGATACGCTCGGCTGCCTTTTGATAGTTGATCGGCTTGTTTAGAATTAAGAGCCAACTGCTTTAGAATTGTGTTGGCTTTCGTTAAATTTCTTAGTTACATAATAGTTAGTTATTATTTCTTATTTTTGAGTTTAAACCCAAGTGGAGGCGTTCTTGTAAGCCCTAAGAAAAGGACCGACTGTTCATCCTATTTTGAGTGAATAAAGGGTAATTAACCCTTCTTGCGTTTACGATTTCTGAAATTTATTTTAACTAAGTAGCAGTTCAGTAGGTTTGTCAATATTTAAAAAAGTGAGGAACTCTACAGCTTAATTAGTTACAAAATATTGCGTACTTAATGCAAATACAATTTTCGAGAACCATGCTTCTGTAATATTAATGAAATGTCCAATTCTGTTTCAGAGGTCTTACACCAGATTTAAATTGTTGGAAAATTTATAGCATTTTTTGCCAGTGTGGCTAATATACATTGCTGATATTAAAACAAGCTTGAAATTTTTGCATCAGAGAACACGTGTTTTACGTACGGTTTAAAGAAACAAGAAATCATCTGTCAGTCAGCTGTGTTGGTCTGCGAATCATATGCTCTGTTTTATCTCGGCCAAAATGATCTAAAGCAGTTTTATAATTGGTAAGCATAATTTCTTTGAAATTTCCATATTCATAAATAATACTTTTACCTTATTAAACCATTATAGCTGAAACTGATTAAAATACCTCTTCGAATGAAATATTCATAATTTTAGCTGCATTTCTTTAAATTTTTCTGAATATTAGTACGTTCTTGGGTAACATGTTAGTAGGGCTTAATTAACTTTTGGTATGAGACATTCAATACATTAAACAACTCATATTCATATTTTGCAAAGTTATTTTGAATGCTCGCTAGATTGTATTTATATTGCTACGTAAAACGTATTTAAGTACAGTTTACAATCGCTTGTTAATTGTTCAAACAGAGCATTTTCTGCTACGGGTTTATAACAATTCGATCCCGAGAAAATGATGTAACATTAGGTAATTTTTAAAACTTAATGCACGAAAAGAGTTAAAAAATTATATAAAGCATATTTTATTTACTTTTTTAATGTCAACTACGTAATTAATTAATAATAATAAATTAAGAATTAATATAAAACAACATAATGAACATCGAATTGTTTTAAACTTCTAACAATTAAAAAAAATACAATTATTGTTAATAGTATTATTTATAAACAAACGTATTAACTCTAAAACTAACTCGGTGGCACAAACAGACCTTAGAGACAACCCTGACATGACATCTGCTTTCTAGACCGTGGCCTCCAGGGTGCTTGTCCATCTCAGCCTGGACAAGTGGTCAGCTTGCCGCAGGACCCCTGGTGTTTAGTCCCCAAGCGAACTCTGTACTCATCTCATCGACCCACTCAAGGGATGAAAGGCTGAATCAACCTTGCCCAGCCCGAGGATCAAGCCCAGGAACTGTGGTGCTGCTGAGCGACGCACTAGCCACAGGGCCTCATAAACAATGTATTAGCGGACATTTTTTGTATTTTAACTTTTTTTTTTAATATCAATGATAGAAACTTTTGCCTTACTTAAATAAGCTTAACTTTTGCCTTGGACTTTGTAGAGCTATTAGGTAGTTTTTGGAAGCAGGAGAGATGAAAAATAAGCAACGCCTTCGCCGGGAATCGAACCAAGGACCTCTGAATATGCGCCCAGCGTGCAGACCACCACACCACGAAGGCATGCCAAGAAGGCGACAGAAATACCTTATATACTCTCCCCCTTTTAAAGGGCGACTGGGTTTTTTTTAGGGAACCCAGTCGCCAAATCCTGGGTGTGGAGAATCATCATCCACTATCCTTTTAGTTTGGGTTCCACTATAGACACATTAGGTTTTTTTTTTTTTTTTTTTTTTTTTTTTTTTTTTTTTTTTTTTTTGGGGGGGGGGGGAAACAGGAGAGATGAAAAATGAGCAACGTCTTCCCGGGAGTCGAACTTCGGACCTCTGGAATACGCGCCCAGCGGGCAGACCACCACACCACGAAGGCGTGCTAAGAAGGCGGGAGAAATACCTTAAATAAATACCAATAAATTTTATTAAAGGAGTTATAAAATGCTGTTTATACTAAATGAGTAAATTTAATTTATTTTTATAAAGTAATTAATGATATTTATATAAAAGTTATAAATAATTATCCTTGAAAATAGGAACGATTCACAATAAGCTTTACTTCATCCTTAATATTAAAAGCTTGTCTCGTTTACACTTTAAATTAATCGCATCACTGCCACCAAAAGTGGATGACTTCAAATTCTAGCTATCGGTATATCTAAAATTGATCAGGACTTCTAGAAAACATTTATGTTTTCAGGGCCGTTAGTTTTTGTTTTTGTATGGAATTTAACGCCATTTCTAGAAGGATCACCCGACGTGCAAATTGTGAGACATTGCGGCTAACCAAGACCAATTAGATGACTAACCTATCCTAGCAGAATTTCCTCTTGAGTGATTTCTATAAAAATAGACGAGAGAGGAGATTACTTAACGGAAAAGGCTCTATTTTAGGGTCTTGCGCTTGTCCGTAATCTTCCATTTAATCACTATTGGTCTTGTTGAAGATGTGGAAACTTGAAGATGCCGTGACGTAACTGTCTCATGTAGAGCTTTATATCAGCGTTCTTTAGAACAACATTTTCGAGGAATCGAGTATCATCGAAGTAGAAATTACCTGGATATACGTTTTTGAAGCCATGTTGAAAAATGAAGGAAAAGCCCCACGCGCACAACCGATGTAATTTCTTGAAGGAACCTATGAAAGATAAAGAAGTTAATAATAATACAAATTATTTCTCTAACACTAATGCTATATTTTATTTGCATGAAGTAGATATTAATTTTAGAATGCTAATTTTAATTAAGAAAATTCTTAAATACGTCATAGAATTAATAAACATGAAACTTAATAGCACATGGACGCCTGCTCCAGGGCTCTTGAAATCCACTGAAAGCAATGATTATATAACTCTTATGGCTTTTGCCATAGATTAGCCATTCACGTCTTTTCGAATGGCTTGAATTGTCTTATAACGTTGCCCCGTAGAACCACGTTGATAAGAGATAACAGTGGGATTAGAAAGTAAGAAAGCAGGCAAATGAGATAGATGACTTGATGCCTGTCAAATGATTGAAAAATGCTAAAGTTACTTTTTTTACTTATTGAATAATGCTCCAGTATTACAACACAAATTTTGCTTTCAGATCATGCCACATCATGCATATCACCTGTAGAAACTATCTCAATGACCTTTAACAGTCATATTCAATTAGTGTAAGTTTCACGTAGGTGCTATGTTTTTTTTCGTTACCTTGTAGAGACATTAGAATTTTTTGGAAGCAGGAGATGTGAAAAATGAGCAATGCCCTCGGTGGGAATCGAACCACGGACCTCTCGAATACGCGTCAAGCGTGCTGACCACTACACCACGAAGGCATGTTAAGAAGGCGGGAGAAATACCTTATATACTCTCCCTTTTAAAGAGCTGTTTTTAAATATTTTTAAAATTTTAAATTTATTTTAAAATTATTTATTTTAAAATTTCAAATAAATGTTTAATTTATTTGGGGGATTAGAGGACCCAATCGCCAAATCCTTACGGTGCAGAATCATCATCCGTCACCTTTTTTAGTTCGGACGCCACTATAGAGACATTAGGATTTTTTGGGAGCACGAGATGTGAAAAATGAGCAGTGCCCTAGCCGGGAACCAAACCACGGGTCTCTCGAATAAGCGTCGAGCGTGCTGACCACTACACCACGAAGGCATGTTAAGAAGGCTGTAGAAATACCTTTATAACCTGTAAGGATTACGTTAATTTTATTAACAGTTAAATTTTAAGTTAAATTTCCTTTCCTGTCAAATTCTTAACTTCAAATTACTACTTCCCGCCAGAACGTAGTTTTGGAATCACTCTGAATACATAATGAGGAAGAGCGGTATTTAACCGCAAAGATATTCGATCTTAGGAAGAGAATTACCAGGTATTCTGTCTGCACGCGTCCGCCTCTTTAGGCTACTCCCTCTTAAGCTATTATTACGCTCGGCCGTACTTTAGGCCCTTGATATATTTCTTTTAGATTAGATTAGTTTTAGTTTACTTCTTAGGCTCTTAAGTTCAAGCCCAAGTGTCGGCTCTTTTTGTACACTCCAAGACGGAGTTCTTTTAAATCTTATTTGAATAAGAAAGGGTTATTTACCCTTCCATCTTGTTGTTTCCTGTCACACGAACTCAAGCGATTATTCGCTTATCACTTCTTAAGACTCTTCACGTTCAACTGTAACTTAGCATTTACAAAGTGAGGAACTCTACAAACCTTTTTTAACAGAATAGTAGCTATATACTTCCGTATATTAACAGATAGATGGAAGAGCTTGCCTACCATTGGATGAATCCTATAGTGTCGATACATTAATTTTTTTTAATCATTTTTAAAGCAGAAGACATGAAAAATGTGCAGTGCCCTCTCCGGAACTTGAACCTTACACTTCTCGAATACGCTCCAAGCGTGCTGACCATTACACCACGAAAGGCATGCTAAGAAGGCGGAAGAAATACCTTATAATATTACTGATATTACATTGCAGTAAATGCTTAAAGTTCCCCGTGATACATATTCAAAATAGTGGAGTGGCATATCCTGGGAGTTAGATCATTTTGGTGGTTAGACTGGGAGAACACTGCCTATCTAATCTCTGACATAATCTAAAGCTTTCTTTCTAAAAAAGGAATACTTAATGTCTTCGGATATTATACTCTTATAATGATCATAATATTTAATATTCATAAAACCTGAAAGCTCTCAGATTTTATATTACGCCCAAACGGACTTTCTAAAATTTACAGACACATACAGGTTTCGAGAGCATTTGGGCTAACGCCACATTGGACTAAAAATATTTGAAAACAGCATATTTTTAGGATTTCCGATAGACAGTCTCGCTCACTGGAGATAAAAATATTGACATTGTTACAAATTAGACATTGTTACGTCTTTGCGTTGCTATGCTACCAACATAATACCAGTACGAAATGTAAAGAAACGCACAGAACATCTATGCTTGAAGATGCATGCGATGTTAATGTTAACGGAACGCTTTGAAATCGTTGAGTTTGTTAATCAAAAATTCGCCTTACGAAATATGAAATAGATAATAAAACAAATTCCAAATTCCAAATTTTTGCTTCTAAATGCCCATGTTCGGGTTGGGAAGTATGATATTCAAAATTTGATGGCTCTAGGTACCGTTGGTTTTTTACAATGCGTGAAGCCTACATACATTCAAGCAGATTCTTTATTTAATTTCTTTAATGCAGGGCGATAATATTTGGTGACAACAATTTGAAAAGTGAGTCAGACTTTTATAGTGAACCATCGCGAAATGCCGAGACGAAATGAATAGCCCTTCTGGGATAACGTCCTTTGGGCTAAAAAGGAAAATTCTCCACCATCAACTCTACTTGAAAATTTTTTTCGGTTTGTGGATATCATGCATACTCAGCGACACCTGTCTTTGCTATCATTTCCAGTAGAAAAACAGCTCTGCAAGCGATCATACTTCTTAAAACACAAATAAACATCGGTACATTAGGATTTTTATAATAGAAAACACGAAAATCGAACAATGCCTTAGCCAGTACTCAAACGTGGGCCTCTCGAATATGCGCCGTGTGTGCCACCGTTACACCACGAAAACATTCAGAAAGGAGGGAGAAAATATCTTACAGTATAATACTCCTAGAGATATTTGCCCACGGGAAAGACTTCAGTCTGAAATGATGGATGGTCATTGTAAAGAAATTTCCATGTTATTCCTATTTGAAATTAGCATTTCCTGGCATTTCGGTGCTCTGCATCTGAAATGCGTATGGCAGTCATTTGAGCATTTTATACATTGTAAGATAATTTGTGTATTTAACTCTGGAAAAGAAAGAAGGTATTGAAAAGATTCCAAAGTAGAATAAGGGAAAGGAATTGTGAGCCCTGCCACAGCAAGTCTCTCTCAGACGACCCTCTCTGACAGTAACAAGTGTTTTTGAGAAAGTAAATAAACATATGTAAACGATTTTGAGAATGTTATTGACCATCTTTACAGAAGACCAAACTCGTCTTAAATCATAAGGTATGTTTATAGAAAAATCTCGTTTATTCAAAACTGGATTTCTCAAAATATTTCTATTGTACATATACGTATTAAAATCCACAGTCTATATTGTGTTAAATGCTGATCAATTACGTTATCTACATCATCATTAAGACAATATCTCATTAAGACAATTAGCTCATTAAGAGCTCTTTCTTCTCCCTTTTTCCTGTACAGATTTACAGAAATTACATTTATACTCATCACAATAAATTACAATAATGACATTCAACGTGATGGTTTGTTAGTTTCCTGATCATCCAAGGTGTTCAAAAATAATTTTCAAGAACCTTGCTCAAAATTGTTTATGTTGTTATTACACGCAAATTATTCCTTTTCGTATGCTTTAAATATTGTGTCGGCTCATACGAAATATTGTGCTTGCTCTACGAAAGTTTTGTAAGGACTAGTATCTTGCATCAAAAGTTTATGCCAAACAAAAGAGAAATATAATTTTTCCCAGATATATATGCGAGATGTTTCGGTTTAAATAAGTTATTTAAAGGGCGCTTTTTCAGACGTATTTAAATAACCCTCCTACCACTAACACTGGCATATAAAAAGAGAAAAATCAGAATACTAAAGAGTAGTTTTTGTATTTAAGAGTTAAGTAAGGTTATTCTCAAGCCAAGCTTTTTATCATAAAAATTATATAAAAAGAGAAAATATTATATGTCTATCTAACTATCGCAATGCATACAGTAATCCTCTCTAAGACAATCCACGATTATAGACGATTTTGGTCTTCAGTGAATGTTCACTGTAGAAGTTTACTGACATTTTCAGAAATATTGGCTATCTCCAGAAGCGACTGTCTTGTGAAGGCGGTCGGCACGATAAAATCTACTATATGTGATATATATGTGAATCATTAAAAAAGGAATGCATTCTATTTAAAACAAGAAGAAAATTAGCCTTTGATTGACGTTTTTATAAATCGTGATTACTGGCAGAGATGGTAACTGTGAGTAAACGTCTTAAGAGTGTTTACAGTATTTCTTCTATGCCATCTTCTTGCTTCTGAACAAATAAATGCGTTTTATGTTTGGAAAATTTATAGTTCCAGTTAGGATTCTTTTCTTATCAAACTGTCTGCAGCACTGTTCACCAACTTAGACAAGTACTTATCCCTTCAGTGAAAATTGATCCGCTGTCTACTGAGTGAAAAACACCATATATAACTCAAACGCTACGAATGCTTATGAGGTTTTCCAATAGATGTTCATATCTTGATCAGCTCTATCATTTTAAATACTTATCAATATTAAATCACGTTTGTTACTGTGTAGAGGCATTAGGTTTTTTTCGAAGCAGGAGTGATGAAAAATGAGCAACGCCTTCGCCGGGAATCAAAACACGGATCTCTGGAATACACGCCTAGCGTGCAGGCTACGACATCATGAAGATATGCCAAGAAGGTGGGAGAAATACCTTATACAGTGGTGGCCAAAATTGTCAACACTTTAGGAAATTTTTATGTTTTTGAACTTTGTATGCTTATAGAAAATGTTACGTTTCGCAAAATGCAAACTTATTATTAAAGAGAATTTATTTCTGAATTAAATACAAAACACAAAATTCAATTATTTGCAATACAAAAAAGTTGTATG